TGTGTGTGTGTGTGTGTGTGTGTGTGTGTGTGTGTGTGTGTGTGTGTAGCATGGTGAGAATAGCTTTTCTAAACTATGACTTTCCTCCAAGGCTCCTGTTTCCTTCGGTATGGAACAAGGGGGGCTGGGCTGGGCTGAGTGGTACTCGTTAGTCAGAGGACTAACGAGAGGCTCATGGGCAGGCTTGTGGCATCTGATGAAAGCGATAGCTTTCCCAAATCTCAGGCTTGGCTGGCATTTCCATAGGACAGAGGGTGTACAGGGACCCCTCTTTCTTTTCAGTAGCATGGCTTGCTTGAGGGTTCTGTCCGCTGCACTCATCTCCTGGACCTCCTGTTGTCACAGGACTCTCAGAAAGCTACAGGCGGGCCAGGTGGCCTCCTGCCATCCAAGAGCTGGCCTGAAGCAGAGCTCATGGGGGAGTCTTGGCCTTAGCTGGGGATGTGTGAGGGTGAGTGTATGGTGGGGTGTGTGTGTGGGGGGTCAGGCCCCTTGCAGCCTGCAGAGCTCCCAGCCATTGCTGCTTTTCTTATAGAGGTGATAATAACACTCCTGCTGTCGCTGTCCACCCTTACTCCAGCTCTGTCACTCTGGATTAGACTTCTCAGTAATTACTTCCCTTCTGAAAGTTCTTCAGGTTCAAGTGACTGGACATACGCATTATGGAGCATTTGAGGAGGGGTGGGAGTGGCTTAAAGCTGTCTACAGATTCTGTGGTTCCTTCGTGGCAGTGGGTCAGGGCAGACCCAGGATCTACTTGGCTCACTGAGCCCAGGCCTGGTTGAGGTAAATTTATTTCTAGGAGGCAGACAGGCTAGAGGAAGGTTCGTTTTCCCTTCCAGATCACCCTGGGAGATATGTGTGGGGACAGGGTGGTACATCCTAAAACTTGTTTTATGGGGAGGAGGAAGTGAGCTGGCCAAACTTCTAGGGGCTTTTATTATACTAGGACACATTACAAGTGGTAGTAATTGGCATGTCAGCCATTTGTCTGACAGAAGACTGCAAAGTTGATGGGCCCATTTGGCCTCTAAGTTCCACTCTGGCCATCAAGGTTGGAGATCCTTTGAAGTCAAGTCAACATATTGGGGAGATGTTAAGATAAGGTATCAGCTTATTGAGAAAACCTAATGTTTTCCTGTCCTTTGGTGGCTTTTATCTTCTGCCTCCAATCATCCCCTTCCCCAGTTCAATCCAGTGATTCATCCAGATTTCTGAATTCTGAATATAGAAGTCCCAGCTCTAAACCCTTTGAAGACTCCCCACTGCCCTCAGGATAAAGTCTAAAACCTTGCAGTGGCCTGCAACAATATGCCATTCCTCTAGCCTTACCTTTGACTTCTGTTCACTGCAGGTGCTTTCTGGTTTTTAAGTATGGGAATCTGTTCTAGAAACCATCTTTCTCACCGCTAGCCCAATCTCTGCAATTTCTACTTAGCACTGCAGAGGTCCTGCAGCTAGAGGGATTGTGAACCTTTTCCAAATTTCTGACGTAGTCCTATTATTTGCAAAGTGAGTACAGATATGTTAGTCTCCTCTTCCCTACTCCTAATGGAAGACTAATTTATCCCTGTCCTGGCATATACCACAGGTCTGGGTACAGAGCACAGGGCAGGAAAAGTTTTCTGACTTCAGGACTGAACCAAACCAAGATCAACCTGTACTGGACATTTCACTGTCCTCTTGACCCAAGGCCTAACTGGGATTTTTTAGTCCTCCTAGGGGCTTTTTGTGGATAGTGTGGTATGTGCTTCCCATTGCACTTGCACCCAAGTCTCTGAGTCAGAGCCCTGGGTTCCTCTGGCAACGCTTCTACGGATGCTTTGTCCTGTGGGACATGGGGCTAGGGGAGTCTGTCACAGCCTCCTCTTACAGCTCCCGGTCCACCCTGTGCCTTGGAGGAGCCTTTAGTAAACAAGCTAGGCTCAGTGTCCCTGGGCACAAACTCCATCACAGGCCCCTGGAGGAACGGTCTTGGGTCGTCTCCTGGGAGAAAGACAGGCCCACCTGGGAGGGGCCTGGAGCAAAAATGGTTCATCAGTGTTACTTCCTCTCCAGTGCCAGCCACTCAGTTTGGGCAGCATGATCCCTTCCACTTTTATGGCTATGCATCAGGATGCAGAGATACAGAGCCCGTGAGTGGCTGCAGTTCACTACGGACTTTACTGTTCAAAAGTCCGGGGAACTCGATTTCCAACTGGGGGCCAACTTGCCGGGTGGGCTTCCCAGGTCTCCAACGCACCAGCTGTCCTCTAAGCAGCAGCTGGTGGGACCGTGAGGGAGACAAAGGGGCCCCCCTAATTCGCGTGCCCCGCCCAGCAGGGGTAGGTCTGCAACCTCGGGAGCACTGGCTCAACCCGCACCCGGTTCTCTGTTTAGAGGGGAGACTCGGTACAGCCTCCGCTCTCTAGCGATTCCGCCTTTAGGGTGGGGGAGGAGGATACGGGCGTGAGTGGAGTTCACGTAACCTTCCAGGGCCCTCACACCTTCCTCACACCCAACTGTCAGAACTAAGTGAAGATACACGTCACCGAACCCATAAAGCCCAGGGCTCGGGCGCATCTTCCTCGACGTGTGCTCCACCCCCAAATAAAGGGCTCTGTTCTGGTTGGGCGGCAGTGTACTCCTTAGAGAGGGCGACCGGCCCCACATCCGGGTGTTGAGGCCTGGCTTGAAGTGGAGGGAACAGAGTGAAACTACAAGTCCCAGGAGGTAGCGGGGCTAGCCACGCTCCTGTGCACATGACTTCCTTCTCCGGAGAGAGTCACGCAATAGGCCGGTGAGGGGGCGGGGCCACTGGGCTAGCCCGCGGTGCCCGTGGCCTATGGGCGGCTGGTCAGATGGGTGCGCGGCAGGGGGCGGGCCCGGGCGCGCGGCCCGGCGCGGGAGCGCGCCAGCGGTGGCGGCGGCGGCGGTGGCGGCGGTAGAGGCAGTTGGGGGGCGGGGAATATCGTCTCAGGCGTCCGTGGCGGCTTTGGCAGTAGCGACTGGCAGTGGCGGCGGTTCTTAGTGCGGCTCGGCGTGTGGCCAACTCTCGAGCTCGGAACGAAACGCTCGGTGTCGCGGTCCCCACCCGGAAAGTTTGCAGCGAAGCCGCGACCTCCTGCCCGGCGCGGCCCGGCATGAAGCGGCGCTGAGGAGCCGCCGCCGCCGCCGCCTGAGAAGGAGTCGCAGACCCTGGGCCACGCCGATGACTACTGCAAACTGTGGCGCCCACGACGAGCTCGACTTTAAACTCGTCTTTGGCGAGGACGGGGCGCCGGCGCCGCCGCCCCCGGGCTCGCGGCCTGCAGGTGGGTGCCGGGCCGGGCGGGACCGGGGAGCGTCGCCTCACTCGCCTCCTCCCTGACTCCTGGGTGGCTCGGGGTCTGGCGACCTGGTGTGTGGTGATCTGATTTAAATTGTGAGGAACTTACGCAGTTCCTCAGGGTCGCAGCGACGTGGAAGTGGCCGCGGGCTTGGCTGGAAGCAAACTAGTGGGGAACTCGACTCCGGGACGCTTGCGGCCAGGGGACGCCCGGGGTTTGGAGGCCGAGGGTCGGGGCCGCTGCCCAAGTGGCGTCTGGTTGTCGCTGCTTTGCCAGCGAAGTGTGGAGAAAATGTCTCTGTGAAGTGTAACCGCACATGGCTTCTCGTCTGTTCGAGGTTGTTTTTAAATCTTTATTGGAAAGAATCGTATGCTAGCAGTTAGCATCTGAGGCTCTGCATTTGCCTGTTTAAATTTACTTAGCTGGGAGAGTAATGCTATCGTGTTAACTTGGCGTGTGTTGTGCAAGTTTATGGCCCACATTTAATTCGAAGTGTAACTCTAACGGGACTTTTCCGAAAATGGGGAAATTGTTTCTGATGGTTAAAAAAAAAAAAAAAAGTGGAGTGTCTTTTTCATAATTCTCCTGGAAAGTTCTAGAAGTTAGTATTTATTTTAAGAAAAAACTCGCCTCCGAAGATGTTTTAAAAGAGATCGCGGACTGGGAAGGCTGGACACCATGATACTTAGAGGTCAGACCAATCAGGAAATAGAAACGGAATGGCTGGGGACTTAGAGCTCTCCTGTGACCTGGTTTGGAATACTGTGGTTCATTAAGTTCATTTTCCCCGTTACATATGCAGGCGAACTTTAAAAAGGAGATAAGACTAATCCCTATTTATTCTTTCTGGGTATTAGGTGAATTGCTTCATGCTCGTTTTGATGTTCAGTAGGCTTCTGTGGAGTTGCATTGAAAAACTTCAAAACATGAGGCATAAGGATTCTCTCTGAAGAATTTGTCTCCTCACTCCCTTTAGTCTTTATATGTTAGACATCTTTTTCAACCTAATAATTTACCAGTTACCCGTTGGCTATGTTTATTTCAGTTTCATTGACGTTATTTAAGTACCTATCCTCATTTGAGGTACTGTTCGGTACTTTGTACTGTTAAAATGGATACACAAGAGACTAATGACCCTCAGGGAGCTTGGGAAATGAGGGGAGAGGGAAACACATAACCCAGATAAATACGCTTCTAGGCACATTAAATGGTGGTGCATTCTATAATTGAGATAAAAATGGGAAAGGAGGCGTTTGTGGTGAGGGTAGCATTGAAGTGAACTTAGATTATTGAGACTTAGTTAAAAACAATTTGTGATGAGTACTGTTTTATAGACTCTGAGCAGGACTCTAAGCAGTTGATGTTGTCAGCAAACTTATGTTGTGTACACACTTGTTCAGAGCATGTTATATACCAAATCTATGATTTATGATTATAAAGGAGAGAGAAAGAAGATCTCTTCCAACTTGGATAATTATTTAAAATTCCATAGAATAGGTGATGTTTGAGTTAGGCCTTAAGGTGAAGTACTGATGGAAGCAGAAGAGAAAGTTACATCAAAAATGGCAATACTCTGATTGCATAAGCAGAGATAAAAATTTTAAATTGTGGCTCTCCCTGGTGGTGCAACGGGTAAGAACGCAGCACTCACTGCAAGCTGGCGGGAGCCGCTTCAGTAAGAGTTCGATCCCCTGTTCTGGAGGTGATCCACATGGCAGTGCAGACCTCTCCTGACTTGCCTGCTACTCCCCTCAGTAGTGTACTTGGAGATCTGCCTGTTCTGCTCCCCACTCTGTCTCTGATGAATCCTCTCACTGCCCCTGCACCTCTGGCCTACTCCCCAGTTCTATATGTATAATAAATCTTTCAAAAAAAAAAAAAAAGTCCATTTTAAAATAATCTACTAGCTATTTTTTTAAATGGGTTTTTTTTAAATTAAAGTGAAATATACATGGCAAACCATTTTAAAGTACTGATTCATTGACATGAATTGAATTTACAGTGTTGTGCAAACACCACTTCTATATAGATTATTTTCATCATCCTGAAAGAAACCCATTAAGGGGCTGTTCCTTGTTCTTCCTCACTGCTTCCCAATCCCTGGCAACCATGTCCCTAATCTGGGATCTGTATCTGTGGATTTACCTGTTCTGGATATTTCATAAAAATGGAATCAATGTGTTTTTGTGGTTCATTCATGTCATAAAACATCAGTAGTTCATTCCTTTCTTGACTGAATATTCTGTTGTATGTATCCCCCAATTTGTTTATCTATTCATCCATTGATGGACATTTGGGTCATTACTGCCTTCTGACTATTTTAAATAGTGCTGCTATGCACATATAGCAGCTAATCTTGAAATTCTTTTGAGAAAAATATTAAAAAGTAAGATTTCAAAATGGTTTGTTCACAAGTTTCATCTTAGTATCACAAGAGTTTGTAGTTGGAAGAAACAATAATTGACATGCTTTTAGGATGATACATTTCAGTGAGGTGGGCTGTAATAACAATTGCTTGGTAGAATTCAGAACAGTGTTGGGTTTTATCAGCATCTTTACTTGGATTTGGATTCTCTTTCCTCATTGGGATGGAAGTTCTTTGAGGGTCTAGTATGTTGTTTATAGTTGTATTGTCAGTGCTTAGTAAAGTACCTTTAACATAATAGGGACCCAGTTTTTATTGAATTAATGAATACTGCTTAAGATTGGGGCTGGTTTTTTTTTTTTTTTTGTGGTAGAGGAAGTTGATGAGACTTGTTTCAGTTCTTTGGCTTTTACTGGTCGTTTTCATAAGACTGCAGATCTTTGTAATTTCGTGCTGCAGTTGTTTTCCATTTCTCTAAATGTTTGATAGTATTTGAGTCACATCTAAATTTCCTACAGAAAAGGAATTTTGGAAAATGTTTGGATGTGTAACAGGATGGTACCCAGAAAAAGGGGAGGTTCCAGGGAATTAATTCTATTAAAGTTTCTTTCCATTAAAGGTCTTGATGTTTTATCTTGATGTGGCAGATGGCAGAACCTGTTTAAAGGAGGCATGTTTGGGGGTTCTGCCCTGTAACAGATAGAAGGCTGTAGAGAATGGAGACTGAGAATTTTAGGAGCTGAATTTAGTGACTATTCTAAGCAAGTTTGTTCAAGTACAAATTAGATGATTTGAGGTGCGCTTGATAATGTTGTATATGCCTGTAACTGACTTTTTAAGAGGTATTAATTTTTTCCATTAAAGAAAATTAAAGATGCTAATCTTTAGCCTTTTTTTTTTTTAAGTGCTGGCTTTGAATTTTCCAGTTGGAAATGAATCAAACTATTTTGTAAGCTTTCTTTCATTTAATTAAATATTTAGCTTCAAAATGAGGTTATATCTCATTTGTAAATACAAAATTTTAAATTGGTGTTTAATATGTTTCATTAATATTATTTGACATTATATAGTCAAAACAGCTTTTACTGGGCCTCTAAGGTGGTATAAGGGGTTAAGTCTCAGCATTCAGAAGCTATCTGCCCTCACTGCCACTGCAGCCTGAGTTCCATCCCCTGCCAGGGAGCTGACCCACATGGCACCGCAGACCTCTCCTGTCTCACCTCGCTGCTCGCCTCAGCAGTAGATTTCAGTAGATATGTCTGTTCTGCTCCCCACTCTGTCTCTGGTGAATATTCTCACCCCTGTGGTCTACACCCTGGTCATGCAAGTAGTTCTTGTATGCATTAATAAATAAACTCTTTAAAAAAGAGAAAACAGCTTTTAGTGTTCTAGTTTAGTGTACTGATTATATTTTATTTAATTTGATGTTATTAATAGTCTACTATTCAAATTCAAATTTCAAATTCTGAGGATTTTGTTTTTTCATTACAAAATATGACTTTATAGTCCTAAATGAGAGTCATTGGGAGGAGTGTGTACTAATCTGTGTATGGTATTTTTATCTACTGCTTTTAAAGGGGAGAAGCGGCTAAAATATATGTATTTTTTTAAATAAAGAATTTACTTCATATATGTGTGATTTTGTCATATTATTTTAAAACAGCTTTTCCATATGTAAAGTTTTGGAACTTTTCTATATTATTTTGCTACTCTTTGTTTTCACTTTGCATAATGTTTGAAGATCTGATTTATGTGTTACAATTCACTATCTCTTAGATAATTTCACTTTCTCTTCTGTCAGTTTTTATTGGCCATTTTTACTTCTTATTTTTTTTGGTTAAACAAGATATTACATTTAACACTCTTGAGTACAGTCCTTAGTTGGTACTTTCTCAGTGATGTCATGTAATATTTCTTAACTATACTCAGAGAGCCTGATGCTAGGTTATTTTACTTTATTTTTTTAAAGATTTATTTATTTATGCATTTATGCACAAGAACTGGATGTGGCACAGGCCAGAGGTGCAGGGGATGAGAGGATTCACCTGAGACAGACTAGGGAGAAGAACAGACAGATCCACTGAAATACACTGATGAGGGGAGCAGAGGGTAGGTCAGAAGAGGTCTGCCATGTCCTGGCCAGGGATCGAACTTGTGCTGCAGTGGCTTCAGACAGCTTCTTAGTGCTGCACTTTAACCTATTGCACCACCAGGTAGGGCCCTGATAGGTTATTTTATACTTCTTCCTCTTCCCTAGATACTCTTCCCTATAATAAACTAGAACATTGAGTGAGAGGAGGGGCAGATGGTGTTGCAGTCATTTAAACTTTATTTAGATAAGTTGCAGTATTTGTTTTAGACATTTTAATCTTACCCTCTTCAATGTTCTGTCTTATATCTTCACTAAATACGAATACTGAAGGTCTTTGACTTTTAATTGTTTTTGTAGTTTCTTGAATTGTCATTCAATATAGTGTGAAAGATGGTTGATTTGCTAGCCATACTAAGTATAATTGGATATTTAAATCAGTATTTAAAAAGGGAAGTTGTTTGTATGGTTTCCTGTAGAAATTTAATGGTGTGTTTATATAGTTCATTAGGTACTGGCTGCTGCTGAGCT